ATCATCACTATCTTCTGTATTAATTCCATAGTTTCTAGTTACAATTTGTACCTCTCTAATAGCTCTAATCTCTAAAAATCTGGTATTTGGATTAATAATAATTTTACATTTTTTTTTAGATATAATAATATTCAATTGATACTCCAATTACTTTATATAATTCTCCGATTCTATAAGATTATAATCCTTAATATCAAAAACTTTAATAATCTTATGAAAAAGCAAGTGTTTTGTTGACAAATCAGACTTTTTTTCTTGGGTTATAATTGATATATATAATTGAAGGTCAGATGTTTTTTAAGAGATTTTCTATATAATAACTGATATTCCTGTATTCCATTGAAGCTAGGGATTATTAATAGAAGCTGGGTTAAATACTGTGAGGAAACCAATCAATAGTATTAGAGTCACGTGATAATCTAGAGAGGGTACTTATACCCCCCTTTTCCAGTAGTTTAGATCGGGCGTTATGTTTTACCCCTTCAAAATTATATTTATCCTTAGTGTTTAAACGAATAGTTACTTTATCCCCTTTTGACCATGACTATCTTTTAGTAACACTACAATTAAATGATTGTTGTACAATATGTGGTTATGCCAAAGGCTTTCCTATGATTTCAGCACCCAAACACAATATTCCGAAGAAAAATTTCTGGTCGCCAGAAGTTGAAATTTGGTCTGAATTCAAACTTTACAGAGTTACAACAATATATATAATACATACCGCTTTATACAAATCAATATAGTATTTTATATAGCGCCGCCTGAGATCATTGATCTGGAGAACACAGATTTTATTAATTTATAAGCCTTGGAAACATTCTTTAATCTAAAAAACTGTTCAAAAAAAAGATAGTATATCTTCACCAACGAGATACCTCCAATCTTCACACTAGGAAATAAAGCAAATACCAATATCAACAATCCAGCAATAAAAGCTTTCAAGATTAAATTTGCTGAATACGAATATACTGAAAGAATTCAGTGAAAGGTTATAATTAGTCTGGTTGTGACGGAACAGACGGCTCTCTTCCGCCCACTGGCTCATACTACATACATAGTATGATATGACGGCTCTTTTGGACCTTCCTTTCACAGCTTAGAGCCCTAGCTCTATAGCTCTAGACCTAGGCATCTTACGCCTAGGACTCTTTCACCCTTTTTGGCCTAGCCCTTATGGCTCCCAATACCTGTATATATAGTCCTCCTTTTAGCATCCTACATAGCTCTTCACTTGTAGATTCTAAGTACACAATCGGAGTCCTGTTTATACCCTTTTGGTCACAAGATGTTTCAAAAACAATATATATCTTTTATTTCTATTATTATATATTTAATACATCCTATAACTATTAGATTTATCAGTTTTTTTACCTTTAAAAAATGTATATTAATATATATTCAATAATTTGAATTCTTTTTTTAATTCTATATTAATTGGAAAGCATAACTTCCTATATTATTATCAAAAGGCTAGAATGGAAACTTTAATAATTTATAATTTTAAAGTTGGATAAAAAGTATTAGATTTATAATCCAAAAACTGTGCTAAACCCCTTATAAATCAATTATTATTTAAAAACAGTAATCAAGAGATTCTAGTATTTAATCCATTTTTTGATAATAATCCCCAACTTCAATGGAATATAAGAATATCACTTATTATATGGAAAATCCCTTAAAAAATATCTGATCTTCGATTATATATATTAATCATAATCTAAGAAAAAGAGTCTGATTTGCTAACAAAACATTTGCTTTTTTATAAAATTATCAAAACTTTTGATATCAAGGATTATAATCTTATAGAATCAGAAAATTATATAAAGCAATTTGAATATCAATTGAATATTGTTATATTTAAGAAAAAATATAAAATTGTTATTAATCCAAATACTAGATTTTCAGAAATTAGAGTTATTAGGGAGATACAAATTATAATTGGAGACTATAGAATTAATACAGAAGATAACAATAATACAATTGAAAGTGGTAGTACAAACGATTTTATTGAAGTTGGATAATTATTGAATTATAGGGTTTAGGAGATGGGGGTCCTTTTTTTTTAGGGTGGTCCAAAAGGGGGGGTGGTCCATATGTGGGGTAGTTGACTTAGATGCTATTGCAATCATCTTAGAAATTTGAGGTTTTTGTATTGAAATGATATCGGAATTGAGTCTTGAATCTGTAATAGTATAGAGATTTCTTTGTTAATTTAAAAAAATATAGAAGTAAAGAAAATGGAATAACTTAATGAAATAGTAAAACTGAACGAAAGCATTTCAAATTTGAAAGATTATTGCGGTCACTATTTTAGTATATTAGTCGAGTCTAAAAAGTAAACCAGCTGTATAATTAGACCTTTCGTCGGGGGTTTCTAGGCTTAGAAATGATATTACTAGACTACTTTTCGAATAGTCTAAATTTGACATTTATTGAGGTGAATTATTCATATGGTTTAATATGAACCAAAGTCAATTACCACTGAGAACAGAAATATATATACTTTCGTCCGAAAACTGAGACTACAATTACTTTCCGTAAATTCGTTGTGAAATTATGAAATTGAGTATAATTTTGGTGTGTCGCTTATTTTGGCTTGATGAAGGGGCACCGGTAAGTTTTGTGGGGTAGACGCGTCATATACGAAATAACTATTTCGGCGCGAGGCAAACCATGCATCAAGACTGAACTATTTCGAAAGTATCAAAATATTCCTTCATCTATGAGGTTTCTTCTGATACTATCATATCATGGCTCAAATGTTATTGATGATACCTCAATTCACTGCCAATTTCTCACCTGGTAATTACTAACGCTTTGACCCTTTCTGAATGTGAAACATTCCAGATTCACCTATTTTGGTACTTAGTATGGTACTATGGTCATCTTGAATTTGGAACGACTTATTTCAATGAAACTTGGACCCAAGTCGGTGGGTGGACACTACAGAAAATGATATCAATTAATAATGAACGCTCAAATGAATTCTTATCCATCCCCACCAGGATACAGTGAGATCTCCGAATCACCACAGTCCCGCGCTGGCGCAAAGCCCTCTCAAATACGTCGCAAGCCTATCACACCTCGATCGATTACGGCAACATCTTCGGAAAGCAATATCATTGATTTGACGAAGTATGGTCAAGATATACGAGGAAACGGGGCCACGGAGGGATCTAGTAATATAAATGCTGCTCTAGCCTCAGGGTCACAATCGCTGGCAGTTCCTATCACACTCGCGGACTTCGAGACCCTCCAAACTACATCTACAAGTACGAATATCGAACGCACAGTTTCTGCCCCGGCAGCCCCCCTAAATTTGCCAAACTTCGATAGTCTCCCCGGGAACACGAGCGAGACGATATCCGAGCCATCCTCTACCCCATCCGCGTCATCCGCGTCGTCCTACGTATCAAAGGCATATCAAGAAGCACGACATTTTGCCGGGGGACTAATAGCGCATCCATCCGAAAGTACCAAACACTTTTCTATCCTACGACATTCGCACGGTCTGGTATTCTATCAAGGATCCTCTACCACTCTTGCGGTCTCAATATTCTCCGATGCGCCTTTACCAGCAGGCCGACAGGTATGGCTACAAAATAAAGGCTGGTCAGGAAACACTGGGATGCGCCTAAAAGCAATCGTAGGAAATAATGGGGATTGGCTTAACGTCACACCTAGCATGGCCATTTCACCCTCCCAATTAAAGGCAAGCGACGAGCGAGCCTGGCAACGAGACATTAAGAAATTTATGAAGAAAACCCAACACCCCAAACATATCTTGCGTGAAACTCTCGTAGTGCGCATACCGGTCTCGGCAAGCGATGGATACTTTCACCTCGTACTTTGTCCTAACGACAAGAAGAAAGTTCTCTGTCCTAGTCCTGTATTTCGGATTCTTTCGGCTTCGGTCACTCCTGCTTCGATTAGGGGTGCGAGTTTGAGTACTTTGCCGTTGGAATTGGGTGCGTTGGCTATGACTACTTATGCTAATAATACTATTGGAAAATTAATTTCTCCGGTGACATCTGCGGCAGAAAAGGTGGCTCATCCTTTTATGCCTTCGGTGGCTAAGAAGGAGGCGGTGATGAAACTTTATGGCAAGAGTGGAACGGAGGATATGGTGAGATCGACTGTCACAAATGGAAATATCCAATATCATGGTATCAGGAGTTTTTCCTACAATCAAGCTGGAAGTGAAGAAAGCGAATCGGGTCCAAGTCCACCATATCCTATTTGTTTTGTCGCACGGTCGGAAATGGGAACAAGTGATGCAGATTATTTTAGCATGCCTACTATGAATTTATCAGGTATTGCAGAACATATATCTCATCAACTCCGAGGTCATTATTGTGCTTGGGTACGACAGCGTCCTGGCAACGGACACACGAACATCGATTCTGAATGGTCTCAGACGGTGATATCTTCTTTACCTATTCAAGCTTCTGGTTTCAGTCGAGCGACGATTTCCCAGGCGAGCAGAAGAATCTTCAAAATACATTTCATCTCCGATCAATTCGAACCCCATTTTTACAATCATAAGAATCTAGATGTGAAAATTATGGGCTTCATACGTCACGATACTTTGTCTAACTTCTCAGACCCAAACCTAAATACAAATCATGATCATCATCATGATCTAGAAGAAGAAGTGGTGGCTTCACTTAATGATATTATATTTGCTCAAATTATCCTTGATCAGCCGTTGTATGCACCCGAGAATATGGGCCAGATGGAGTGGTCGACGAGAGGTGTGTTGGAAAGAGCGACGACGGGGTATGCGGAGGTGAGGTTGGCGGCGCAGAGAAGGGTTGATAGAGTGCCGTTGGGTAGGTTGGGGTTGAGGATGGAGGTTGATGGGATGAGGGATAGGGAGAGGGGAGTGGGGGGATTGGTGAATGGATTCTATGTTGTGAGGTGAGGAGGTGGGTGGAGGTGGTGGATGAGTATTTAGGTGATTGATTTGATGATGAGTAGTGAGTGGGTGGTTTAATATTTAATTATTAATATTTAATAGAGGGATTATGCCAGTGTGTCGTGTATAGGAGGATACTAGTATATAGCTAGCTATCAAAACTAGATATATCATCGAATTTTTATATAATATAACACTTTAATATGCATCAATATGCATCAGTCCATCGTCCATATCCATCCATCATCTCACTGTACTACAGTAGTAAGTAACCTTTGGACTTACAAACAGTCAATTCGAGGTAAGTCACGTGAACTGCCGCCCGAGCACTAAATTCATAGTAAGTTTTCCTTACTGAAGGCCGATGCAGACTGATTCTGATTCTGATTCTGATTAGGCTGAACAATTTCTTACTATTTGGAATATTCGTACACGGAGCCGAATAAACGAATCTGGTTAGTGGATCAAATATGTGAGGCAGGATCACCGGTTTGGTTTGGTGTAATCTTAAAATTACTTACAGGCTGTATGGGTATGGGTGAGGTGTGCATTGGTAGAAAAGAGTACATACAGTAGATGGATTTGGTGAGTAGATGCCAAGATGGATGATTTGGCGAGGAAGAGGAAGAGGAAAATGGAAAATGAGGATCTTCGGGGAGATGATGAGGTCTTACTTGGGTTATCATGGTTATGGTATTAATCGTATGATGTGGTAGCTGGGCAGTGGGCTGTGTAAAGTAAAGGTATGGAGTGACGGGATTGACGGGATGGATTGGATGGGTGATAGTCATGAATGCATGTATGAGTGAGTGAAGTATCTTTTGAGAGTAAATTTTATTGTTTTGGAAAAATGGTAGTGTACGAGTGAGTGCTCGAGTATATATACTCGTATATGCGAATGGAGGAGGATATGGATCTAGAGACAATCTTTACTTTTCTAGCTGGTGTTTACTTTACTGTCGTGTAACTTGTGCGACGACTATTGCATACCGGTATGCATATTGGTTGGATACCTACCTTGGTATGGGTTATGGAAAAGATATGCAGGCTGAGAGGTTTAGCCTATGGGTAGATGGATGGATGAATAGGTTTGATTGAGGCTGTTTTACTATACTATATCATATCATATCTCCTGAATTGTGCATTATTTGGATTCGGTAGATATCATGTATCAATATAACTTATACTGTACCTACTGTCTTGTCTGTAACAGATTCACTTAAAGTTCGATGGCTTGGATCGATTTCAATGGGGAATTTATCTGGATGAGTGCCAATACCAGTAGATGAAGATATTCGTTAGACTTCTCGACTCTCGAGGGGTGAGGTGAGGTACTGCGAGGCGCTTACAGAGATTACCTACTTTGCATCGGAGGCTCGGATGAAGAAATGTTATAGGAAAGTGTGATTTGTTTTTAATTATTTTCATTCCGAATCCATTATCACTCATCTTCTTAATTCATTATTATCATCAATTTGTTTTGTTCTTATTCTTGTTCTCTCCAGACTTCTATTACTATTCCTGTTCCCGAGATTATATATAATACATTTACCTAAAATATCCCTGTCAATTACCAAGAGTCTTAATTTCACTCTCAAATCAAATTCACCAATCAAAATTAGACCCTTCATCGGGTAGGTCCGTGTTGTTCCTGAAGCTTATCTCTTTTAGGATTAAGGTACAATCTTCGTTCCTGCTTAAAATGATAAAAATGATAAGCACAAGCAAAAAGATCCAAGCAATCAAGCATAAGTCAAGAATTGAACTTACTTCATATGGAAATAAATGGATCCTTGATTGAACATCTCTCCGCAATCCATCAATTCCCGCACTTCACACCCAAAAAATAAGAAGAGACGAACCCTTTTTGTTTGCATCACCCACACCACACCATTGCTTCCTCCACCTTTAACTTTCACCACCCTCCTTCTCCTCTCTCCCTTTTTTCCCCATTTCAACCGCCGACATTCCTTTTCCCTTACTACAACTCTACAATTAGAGTCGAAATAACTCTATCTCGTCGTCCTTCTTTTATCGACGAGAACAAAACAAGAGGATCATCAACTTCACAGTCTCAACGACAAGAAATTCAATAATTGGTTTACTCGTACATTCTTTCAACCAACCTAACCTACTACAAACGCGACCGATCACCTTCATTCGAATAAAATCTAAATCCTATTCATCTCACCAATATCGTACACGATCACCGAAATAATCAATTCGAAAGATATCGCGACTTCGAATCATAATTGACGTTCATTTACAATACCAATTCAATTCACAAATTTCCTATATTTGAAGATGAAAGGTCGTTCCCATCAACATGTCCGTCATGCGCGGCGCGCCGAATTACATGAACAAGATGCTGTTGCTGCACCAATCGTGGTTAGGCAACCCAATCCAGAGCCAGCATTAGAAACAATTGTATCAGTTGTTTACGTCACCGCTTCACAAACCTTCTCTGGATCAATTGCAGGTTATTCAACTCAAGGACAAAATGACGAAACAACATCATCTGAAGCAGTAAAGACAGTCTCTTCGACCAAAACTACCGCCGCCAAAACAACTGACAGTTCCTCATCCAATGAAAGTCATACTTCAACTGCCGCATCCACTCTTAAGACTTCGGCTTCCAGTTCTACTGAGCTTCCTAGTTCAATCATCGCTACATCGTCTGTAGGAAGTTCAATTGCTATTCTCGCAGCTAGTAATAATGTAGCAACATCAATTACGGCAACCGGTTCCTCTTCGACTGCATCCTCAACTGCAGCAGCAGCAGCAGCAGCAGCAGATAAATCCGATTCTGGTATGAGTTCTGGTGGTAAGGCAGGTTTGGCCGTTGGTATCTTATTGTTATTTGGTGTTGGACTTGCACTCCTCTTGTTTTTATTCAAAAAGAAGAAACAAGCTGCTAAGAATGAACGCCTTGATGATGAAAAATCTGAGATGGTCGCTTCATCCGCTCGACGCGCAGAGGCTGATCGTGTTGCAATTCAACGTCAAGCAAGTCAACGCTCCGCTCGAGGAACGGCAGCAACGGCAGCAGCAGCTCATCGTCTATCACTTCGTCCTGTAACTCAATTCCAACCTTTCAACAACGAAAAGCAAGGGATTAATCAAGCACCAGCTCAAATGGGTAGCACGTTGACACCAATCTCAACTGCGCCTAGTTATCACTCACAACGACCTCTAACGTCAAGTCAAGAACAGAATATGAATAATCCATTTGGAAACCACGCCGAATCGATTGATACACCCAATACCAATGGTCCCCCTGTTATCGAAGCTTTGAGCGCTGGAGGTGAAGTCATTGCTGCTTCTGCTGCTATTGCTGCCGTCGTACAATCTCCTACTAGCTCTTCTGCTCCTACCGTCCTACCAGCTGGCCCAGCTCCCGTTCCAGCCAAACAAATTGGTCTCACTCGTAGTGCTTCAAAGGCTGGTAATGGTCTCAGACAAATGGATTTCACTACTAAAAGTAACACAATTTTGAGTCCACCAAGTCCTTCTGGTTCCGAATTCAGTAATGTATCAGGAAGTACTCAAGCTCAAGTTGCAACCGGTATAGCTATTGCCGCAGCTGGAGGTCCTCCTAATACGGCAGTTCACCGAGTTCAACTTGATTTTACTGCTTCGATGGATGATGAACTTGATTTACGAGCTGGTCAATTAATTCGAGTTTTGCATGAATATGATGATGGATGGGTAAGTAATTTTAATATTTTTTTTTTGAAAAAGACATGCTAATTAAATATAGGCTCTTTGCATTCGTCTTGATCGTTCTAAACAAGGTGTTGTTCCTCGAACTTGTCTTTCTACTCGTCCTGTTAAACCTCGTCCACAACAAACTGGTCCTCAAGGTTCACCTGCTATGCGTCAACAACGTCCTATGTCACCTGGTATGAATCAAGGTCCTCCTCGCGTTCCAAACAAGGATGGTTTACCTTATCCATCATCTCCAATGAGTAATCGAATAATGACACCAAATGGACCTTCACCAAATGGACCACCAAGACCAATGCCACCAAATGGACAAGGTCCTCGTGGTCCTGGTATGATGCAAGGTCCTCCAAGATCAATGTCACCAGCTGGTAATAGACCAATAACACCCCAAAGTCAACGTCCAATGGTACCTCCAAATCATCCAAATCAACAACGTCCGATGACACCTCAAGGTCCATCAGCCTCAAGACCAATGACTCCACAAGATCAAACAAATCAACAGCGACCAGTCACTCCACCAAATCAACAAGTGGCTCCACGAAATGAGGGACGTGCTCGAAGTGATTCGGATACTGATCCTATCTCCAGACAAACAAGTCTTACAATGAATCCTTCACCATCTGATGATCCTTTATCTCCTCCAAATGTCAAAAGTCCAGTGGAGAGAAAGCCAGTTCCAGGTCAAGCCATGTAATTACGATAACTATCAATCGAATAGGGAATGGATAAATCATTTATACCCTTTTCTACAAGTATAAAGATGGGGTCCTTACATATGGCGCAAATGAGAATCAGGTCCATCAGATAAAATTCGATATGAACAAAATGACGAATGTACACAAGTTTCTATTGGCGCATCTTTCACGCATGGTTGAGCAGTTTGTTCAATATTTTCTTCCTTCAATTCTTTTGCAGAGCAATGTTTTTGTGGATGGTGTTTTTTTCTTTTTTTCCAGAGGAGTTCAGAAACAATATCAATACACTTACTCAAGTATTACATGGGCTAATAACAGTAATGTGTATCTATGGACATTCTTCCTTTCTACGACAAAGCTTCATTTCTTTTTGCGACACATTTCTTTTTCTAGGAAACAAGTTATGTTGGGTGTGAGCTGGGACTTTTAGCTTTCGATGCTAGTCATTGATGAGGGAAGAGGAGTTTGAGAGGGAAGAAGAGTGAGATGAGGGAAAGATTGGGATGAGATGAGGGAAGAGAGGTCTGAGATGGGGAAGATCGGAAGTGAGATGAGTGAGCGATGAAAGAAATTCCCAATTGGTCGGCATGAGATGTTATTATTGAACCAAGGAAGAGCTGCGCTTTGAATCGACTCAATAGCTTTTTTACAAAATCCTTCCATTTGAGTTGGTTTGGTCGATTGATTGATTGATTGGTCTACTATTATTGAGTGGTAGAATCCTGGATGAGGGTGAGAAAATATTTTTGCTGGGTCTGATATTGATTCAGTCTAGTTTCGAGACAAATTACATTCATGGGACGAATTTATTGGGTGGAAGCTTGTGCTAGAAATGGGAAGATGGAGGAGATTGGGAGAAGGATGATAAGATAGTTAGATGGGAATAGGAATAAGAATAAGAAAAATTGTTTTATAATTTTATGGTTTTATGGGTGTGTTGTGCTGTGAGTTGAGGTGTTGTATAAAGGTTTACCTTGTGTTGTGCTACTTGATCGGGTGGGTACATATGGATAGGGTGTTGTACTCGAGTACATGGGTTGGGCATGGATTGGGGATAAATGGAGGGCTACGTCTGGATCTAACTTGTTTGAGATTCGGAAGGGGTAGAGTTGATGTACTGAGTAGGGTTTGTAGTGTTGACGTGGGATGGGTATGGAGTGGTGGTGGTGGTGGTGGTTCTTGGGTTGGAGAAGTGGATGGGGATAGTAACGATTACTGGTGTCGTTAATGGTAGTGTTGGATTAGGATTAGGATTAGGATACGGTTGCTTATGATTTTATAGAGAGGGAGTAAGAGGTGGTGAGTTTATAGTATAAGGAGCAGCGAGCGAGCTGGAGGATGACTACCGGTATTGAGTCATGGTTTGCATAGAGTTTAAGTCCTGGGGCTCCAACAGAAATGTATTTGTATTCGATTATACTCATACTAATTCTGGATATCTTTCAAACCCATCAAAAACGAATTAGAAAGGCCCCGACAGAAATGTATTTGTCCTCATTTATATTCATACTAATTCTAGACATCTTTCAAACCTTCCAAAAACGAACTAGAAACCATTGATATGATATATAAACAAGATTCCGAAAACATGAAAAACATCCAAGAAATGAGAAAACTTTCGGCCCCGAGAACTATGTCTCGTCTCTGATTCTGATTCTGAATAGGCAGCGCTCGTTGAATCGTTTATGAAAAAGTGGAGGTCCGAGAGCTGTTTAGAGCTTGAATGATATAGTGTAGCCTGTAGGAGGATGGATCGACAGCCCACTGCAATTACCGAGTTTTGTACACGGGCCAGGGATTGCTCTTATGATGGGCTGACTTTGCGATTGGTTGAGGCTTGGGAGGCTTGGGCGGCTTGGGCGGCTGGGCCTTAGGGTTTATTTTATAGTTGTGACTGATTATTATTATTATAATAGTGTGAGCCGCAAAGTGGGGTAGACTACCGTGGATGGGGGTTAGAGTCTTGATTGCCGTTTGATGTGAGGGGTTTATATTGATATTGGTGTTATTACTATAGGGAGGAGGGAGGAGGGAGGAGGGAGAAGGGTGTATTAATATTGGTGTTGTTACTATAGGGAGGAGGGAGAAGAGTGTATTAATGTTAGATGGGTATATCAGATGTGCAACATGTTGTCTTTAAGGGTCTGAGAGTATGTATGGCGAGGGAAGGAAGGAGGGGAGTGGAGATGGGAATGGGGAAATAGATTGGGAATGTTTACTTGAGGGTGGGATTACTGTTAAAGATGGGGATCGATTCTTAATGAAGAGTTGTATTATTATTAGGTAGGTATATTAGATGTGCAACAAAGTATTTGGAGAAGAAGACAAAGGGAAGGAAGTGGAGTAAGGGTGGAGATGGATTAAATGGTGGCTTGTATTGAGGTTTGAGATGGGGATAAGTATGGGTTTGGAAGGTATGGTTTTAGATGGGAATAGTATGGATTTGGAAGGTATATTGTGATTAGAAAGGTATATCAGATGTGCAACAAATGCCTCCTTTGAGTCTCAGAGAATAACGAGATGGAGAAACAAACGTAAAAGTGGGATGAGATGAGGCTTGGAGCATGAGATGAGACAAATTAGACAATCTGAATTATCGAACTCATAAACGACAGTTGAAAGACACTATCTTGGGATGACTTCATCTACCGGTATACTTAGTCATACACCGATTCAAACTTCAAATCGAAGCCAACAAAGTCGAAATAAAGAAAGTTCTTTCGGACCGTGCACTTTCTTCTAGAAGGTTTTTTCGCACCTTCCTTAGAAATCACGACACACTCTTCCCGAGTTCTCCAAACAAAGCTCTTGCGAGCTCCTACAACTATCAGAGACTCATCTCGGAGTATGGCATCATCCATGCCTAACCATTCCCTCGACCACCACGGAAAAGAGATATTGCACATCTAATCCGGGGTCCCAACAAATATCACCCTATCATTATATTCTCAGCTTATTTCCATCGATGAATCTTTGGCAACTTTGCCTCGATCATGGAGTCACCAACCACTTTCAAATGAGGCCAAGGATGTGGTTCGAGAGTACTCGCGAGAAGGGAAGTGGGGTCAAATCTATATGAGAGAAGGAATGGGGGAAATAAAATGCAGTGGATGACATGGTAATCTGGCTTCTAGCCAGAGGCTTCTCAGGATCTTGCGAGACGACTAACATTCAGACCTCAGTTGTGGTAAACAGAAGTCAAATCTGTGATCCGAAGAAGCTGAGCTAGAAGTAATTGGTATCTCCATGTTGGATTGTGAAAGTATGAATTACATTCGAGGATTGGATGCATGAGAGGCATCATGTACACGATGAGCAGCTGTTCTTCAAGAGTTCGAACACCTTGTAGCTCTTCTTCAAGTCTGAGATGCGAGAAATCATGATGAGAGTCTCTATCTTTCGATGTTATCCTGATCTGATTCAAGGAACAACAAACTGGATGATGTTCAACTCACAGTTGACATCCAGGTTTAGACAAACACGGATAACCCCACACCTACCGATAAACGGACGTTACCTTTTCAAACGCAGCTACCGCTTACCGCATATGCATCCTGCCTTTTCTAGATTTCCTAGCCAACCAGTGAATTGCCCGCAATACAATAGTTGGTTGCTTTACCTGCAGCCTCATTTTACCATCACGATCATCTTGTTTTTGTTACCTCAGATATTTTTCTATTCCTTCTTAAGCTGATCACATCTTCCCCATCAATATTCGAGTACTTTCTATCGTATCGGAATCATTTATACTGATTCGTGATATCTTATTGACGTTATCAATTATCCCATCTCACGGCGGTGATATCGTATATCTCCAAACCGTGATGGAGATTCACGTCACAAACGTCCCAGTTCATACTGGAGAACACGATCTTCGGAAATTCCTCAAGCCTAAGATCGATAAACTTGCCATCCATAGCTTTCATTGTCATACTGCTCGAGGTAAAGACTTTGCCAAGCTCACTTTTCGATCTACTACAGATGGTGAGAAGTTTTTACGACATTTTGGTGAAAGAAGACCAAACAACAAACAACGTAAATCCATAGGTCCTCCAAAGCTTAATTTTCATAGCAGGCCGATTTATTGTGAGTTGAGCAAATGGCCTGCGAATCTGCATTTACTCCGATGCTTGGAGAGAGAGGAGAAAGAACGTATCGAAAACTCAGTGCTTCAATATGGTCCACCACTTGCCAACACTTCGTTCGAATGCACCTCAGTTATTTGTGGTACCTGGAACTATGTCCAAGAAGATTTGGTTTTCATGCCGGAATTAACATGGCAAAGTAATGTCACTGTTCACTTCAAGGAGAAGGCCATGATATTGATTCTCGACAACGGATTACGAATGGTCATTCGTTACGATACCATTGAACTTCTCACTACAGATGATGGTCATCATTCAGCGATCACTGCAACGCTCCGTCAACCTCCTCATTTCTTCAGAGATCCTCCAAAAGTTGACGTTCTCTACGAGATCACACAATTGCTTAACAATGTAGATCTCAGAAGAAAACCAATAAGCAACAACCATCCCACAAAAAGGTCCCGTGTTGCTGGTTTTGATGAGAAGCACAAGGAAATTGCGGGCAGCTCTCTCGTGTATCGTTGCACATTGAGGGGTTTCACTCCAGAAATTGAAGAAAAGTTGGAGTCGCTGAAGGATGCTCGAGGCGTCCCTCCAATGATTCATCATTCCGTTGCGATAACTCAGCCCATAGAATCTCATGATACCGGTCTCAAAAGACTTCATGAGGCTTTAGGAAGTTTCAACAATAGTCTACCATTTCCCTTGACATTTCAGGTTCGAAAATTAGCCCAAAATGGATTTCTCCCTCCTCGCCAAATTATTGATCTTCTACCGACCTTCATTTCAATGTTCGAACGATCCACTCTTCCAATTTGTGTCGCAGCTATGAGGAGACTATTTAATCAGCTTCCATATCCAGGACCTGATGTCAAAGCAGAGGCCTTCGACAAGAAAGCTATTGCTGAGTTGCTTGCAAATAATGAGAAACTTTCAACGCAAGAGGCTCTCTATGCCGAGGGCTTCGGAGGTACGGCATCTCAGAATACTGCTCTGGTTCACCGAATCACCATTACTCCTGCTGGAGTATATCTGGATGGCCCCGAGACAGAGAGTAACAATCGTATTCTTCGGAAATATGCTGGTAAGCACTATTCTGTTTCACATTATACTCGTTTATCTATCATGTCTAACGTTAATCCTTTTTTCCAACACATTTTTATACCTACGTACTGATAATCATCTGTCTTATTTTAGGTAGTCATGGCTATTTCGTACGCGTGAATTTCTGCGATGAGGACGGTGGTAGAATTCAGTATGCTTCGAATGTCTCTAACGATGAAATCTTCGATGTGGTATTCAAGAATATTTTACGAAATGGATTCTCTATCGCAAACCAAAAATATGAATATCTAGGCTCGTCACATTCATCTCTTCGCACACAATCCTGTTGGTTTGTGGCACCTTTCTTCAATGATAAGGGATATCACGATGCCCAACATATCATCCATGACCTAGGTGATTTTACATCAATTCGTTCTCCAGCTAAGTGTGCGGCACGAATTGGTCAAGCATTCTCCGATACACCAAATGCTATAACACTCGATAAGAATGTTAAGGTGGAAAATATTTGCGATGTCGAACGCAATGGTAGAGTCTTTAGTGATGGGGTAGGAACGATGTCAGAGTCATTGATGCATAAGATATGGGAAACTTTACCAAACAAAAATCTCGTGAAACCAACTTGCTTCCAAATTCGCTATCGAGGTTAGTTTGAGATTTATTCGAACCTGTGATCAATTTCTTAGTATTTCTTACCAATGATTTTGTGTTGTTCGTAAACAATGCTTACCATTTATGATAGGGGCCAAAGGTATGATCTCTTTGGATACCCGTCTCCAGGGAGATTGTTTACAACTCAGAGAATCTATGATCAAGTTCGACGGATCTCTTTCAGACGATCTTGAGATATGTGGTGGCGCGTACAAGCCACTCCCTATGTATCTCAACCGACAATTCATTAAGATTTTTGAAGACTTAGGAGTCGAACCCGAATATTTCATGAGACTTCAAGCAAAAGAGGTCTCACGATTGAGAGCAATTACGGCTAATGCATATAATGCCTCAACCTTTCTTCAACGAAAAAAGGTTGGAGATGTTGTTCTCCTCCCATATTTAATCGACCATTGTTCTGCTTTAGATCTGGATTTTAGAAACGACGTGTTTTTGCGTGATGTTCTTGAGATGGCAGTTCTAATAGAACTTCGCACTTTAAAGCATAAAGCTAGAATACCTGTCGAGAAGGGTTATCATCTACACGGCATAATGGACGAGACTGGGATTTTGAAAGAAGGGGAAATATATTGTTGCTGGCTTGAAGATGGAAAGCCTACCACGCTGGTCAGATCGGATGTTGTTATCACTCGAGCTCCGGCACTTCATCCTGGAGATGTTCAATTGGTTAATGCCGTGGATGTCCCGAGCAACTCACCACTGAAGAGACTCTATAATTGCATTTGCTTTAGTCAAAAAGGTGCTCGCGATTTACCAAGTCAGTTATCTGGTGGTGATCTTGACGGAGATCTCTACTATGTCATGTTTGATCCAGATATGAAGTTGAAGAAGACTGTAACACCCGCAGATTACCCACGATTACCACCTCTCGACATTGGCCGTATCGTGACACAGCAAGACATGGCTGATTTCTTCTTAACTTTTATGAAGACGGATCAACTTGGTGTTATATCAAATAGACATCAAGTCTATGCAGATCAAAATGTGAATGGAACTGAATGTTCAGAGTGCCTAAAATTGGCGGAGCTTTGCTCAACTGCGGTTGATTACTCTAAAACTGGAATACCGGTATAATATTCATCTTCTATTGGACTTGACTACTTACTAACTCACAAATCTCTTTAGGCTGATATTAATCATCCAAGTGTACCCAGAAGTACTCTTTGGCGACCTGACTTTATGGCTCCAGGACCTCATATTAAAATTTCGAACCGACCTACCGATCGTCTTGAATTCTCTCAAGAGTATGCTCCCGTAGAAGCAATGGACGAAGAGGATGAGGTCTCGAATATTAAGTACTATGAAAGTCATAAGGTTTGTGGAAAGCTTTACCGTGCGATCGATGAACGACAAGTCTTTGAGGATGTTAAAAAGCTGAATACTCAAGCCAATGACAGTCCTGATGTCATACAACACTTGTGGGAATTCGTTAAATCTCGTTCTCAGGGAATCCTCTGGCAACATTTACGAAATACTGCGCTGGAGATCCAGGAGATGTAAGATCACGTGTTATTTTATGTAGGATTCTAAACTAACAACGATATAGTTACGAAAACAACATGCTGGATATAATGCATGAGTATAGCGAGCATCCAAGTCGCCCAATTAGCGAGCGAGAGGTATTTGTTGGTAATATTCTTGGAAAGGTTGGATCAGTGAGCAAAAAGCAAAGAGACTTGTGCACCAGCATGAAGGAGAAATACGATGATCTTGCCGCATTCATCATTAATTGCATCATCAAGGATAAGGATGAGTACTCTGAAGAAGCTTTAGAGCGCAGCATTGCTTGTTTCGCCATCTCGCTAGATGAGAGGAAGCCGAAAACATTTCGGGATGAACCTTCAAGAAGTTTCAGATATTTAGCTGCTGGAGTCTGCTTGAGGGAGATGGAGAGAGTACCTGGGCTTCTGAATCATTGGTAAGGTTAGGATTGATATGCGGTGGTTGCGATAAATGGATACAATGATTCTGGTAACAATGGGATACTGCTTCGGGATTATGGAATGATGGGAGTCATCCGGGTGGAATGGTAGAACTTAGTGTGCAATGATCGTCTAATTTCACAGTTTCTAGTTTAATTTCATAATTTATGCTTGGACATCGTTAGATATCTATGCTATGACAAATAGGTCATAGCTAGACTGGGCTTAAGGCTTAAGGTATTCTTTTAACCCATGACCTAGTGATATACAGTGCTTCGAGTGATCCAGTCTTACTTAATACAGTACTCAGTATTCCTATCTCATATCTCTGGCGATTTGAGAGTAGATATCATAAATCACGGTTACATGTTTCGTTGGCGATTATTCTTTTGTATCTGTTTATACGCGCGGTTAGATCATTAGGCGTTGTGAAGGGAGGGGCAAGCATACGAGTAGGTTTATTACATAATCATTTTAGTCATCATCGGAATATGGAACCCCCACCTAGTCAGCTAACGTAGGTGAGATGAATCCCTTCCCACTTCAAGACCCCCGACTCCTCAGCGTTCAATTCCTTCAGCTTTATTAGATCTATCGAGCATCGAAATACCCAGCTAGCCTCACTGTAAGTAGATTTACGGAGCTTTAGAGTCAAAATTGGGAATATCGACACCCCTCAATCATTCCTGCTCTCCTCGCCATTTCAACCGTCACAATCCAGCCCTTCAGTTGAACGATGTATTTTGATCCTATCGCTCAGGAGAGACAAGATAGGAACTTCCAGATATGGATAGGCCAACTGCTTAAAGGAGATCCTGAGCAGCTCGCCTGCCAATTGGCGAAAAAGCATCGACCAGGGCACAAACTCGGCGCGGCTCTTTGGAAAAACGGCGCTTACAATGTCTGCTATAGAGTGCGATATGAGGACGGCTTCCACGCTATTGTTCGCTTCTCAGCTCTTGGCAAGACTGTATATCGTACGGAGAAGGTTGAAAACGAGGCAATTGTTCTTCAATACTTGCATCAACATACCAATGTTCCCGTCCCACAAGTACTCGGATGGGGAACATGCTGGGTTGGGCCCTATACAGTCGAAGAGCTTATTGAAGGTGATTTGATTTCCGTCGCGTTGAAGGATCCCACTCAAGAAGGACGCCCAAACCTAAATCCAAAAATCAGCGATCGCGCTTTGAAGGTAGCCTATCGTGCAATGGCCAATATTGTACTTGAATTATCTAAACCAGAATTCACTCGTATTGGGTGTCTAGTCAAAACTGGTGAGGAGTTCGATATCGGCAGACGCCCCCTCTCGATTCGCTTGAGCGAATTATCGATATCAGCTAATTTGGCGCCGGAACACCTTACCCAATCGACCTTCGCTTCCTCCACTGAATATTTTGACTTACTAGCTGAGCAACATCTCTCTCAACTTCGATATCAACGAAACGATGTTGTGGAGAACGAACTCGATTGTAAGAAGAAATATATATCTCGATGTCTATTCCGTAGGGTGGTTCGTCAAGTCTCTGCTGAATATGTCAATGAGCCATTCAGGCTTTTCTGCGATGATTTTAGGCCTTCCAACGTCCTTGCCAATATGGAGCGGCTCCAGATTTCAGCCGTTATTGACTTGGAATTTTCCTATGCAGCGCCCTCAGAATTCACCTATGCTGCACCTTGGTGGCTTTTATTACAAGGTCCTGAGGACTGGGAGGGTGACCTCAATGACTTTCTTACTCGCTATACCCCGCGACTTGAGCTCTTTCTCTCAGCGTTACGAGAATGCGAAGAGCAACAAATCAAGAACGGAATCCTTGTTGATTCTCAACGACTGTCTGCACGTATGGAACAGTCCATGCATAATGGATTGTTCTGGGTGTGTATCGCTGCGAGACATAGTCAGATGTTTGATGAGGTATATTGGGCTTTTCTTGATGAGAAGTATTTCGGACCGTTTGTTGCGCTGGAAGATCGGGTTGAGCTCCTTAATGAGGAAGAGAAGAATGAGCTTACGAAGCTGTTTGATCTTAAGCAAGAGCAAGCCAAGGATAAAACACTGGATATTTACTACCCTTCGACAGATCTTATGAGACTTTAAATATGTTTTGATTGGCCTAGTTAGTCCCACCACTGTTGTTACTGAAAAGACTCAGGCTTTCTTCTTCCTGATCTCAGCTCCGAATTAATTGTCTCAATATAAGTCGGATGCTAGAGAGAAAAGCTCAAAGAGATGTACAAGACCATCTTCGATGGAAGTTGATGGCCAACGAAAACATGCAACATACAAAATTCAAAGATTACCACACATGCCATCGATTGAGGATGAATCGATGGCGGACAGAGTGCGATCATACTACCAATTACGACGGGACCACCTATCGTCCATCATGACCATAGGCTATCACAACTATGGCGTGTTCGAAGACTGTGGATATGAAATTCGACCGTATATGGACAACAACAAGATGCTCCGTGGTTTGTGACAAATATTACGAGACTCTAGAGATCCGATCAACTATCTTACCTTCATGAATGTGATTATCTTCGGATTTCTGACTGTCTTTCTTACCCTGGCGTCTTTCCTCGTTGGTTCCGTCTGATATATATTGCATCCAAACGTTGGATATTTCTTTTCAGAGGAAGATCTCTGATATGTATTGCTTATAACATTTTTGTGGATGGATATTGAGGTTATTGTTGGGTCTCGTTCTTGGAATTTCTTATGATTAACCAAATTTTATAATTTGGCTTGGACAATCATGTCTTCTCGATATATCAAATCGATTCAGACAAAAGTAAATGGTGTTTGGATCTACCAATAGATTTTATACAATTTTTGGACAGCCTTGGGTTTGCGCTTCCTCTTTGAGGATAAGACATACTTCGGATCTTGAGAGAGAGAGGAGCTGGGAGACCACAAGGCTGGCTATGAAAAGACATTTCAACACCATTGCATCGTCTCTCACCAAGAGACATCCGGCGCCTCTTGTCACGGTCCTTGACTAACGGAGCCTGAGTAGGAAGATTTTGGATGAATGGGGGAATATTTTACACTGAAAGCCGCCACACTGGTCTGCAGAGGGAGAGAGAAAGTACGAGATCTGGTGATTTGGGAAGTTTTCTTCCGAGTTCATTCAAGAGCGTATCACTCTGTAATGCGATCATGTATTTCTTGTCTAGCATCCCCTTTTTGAATCATCTGCACTACATCACTGCGATATACTAGCCTACTTTTCTACCTTGTCTTTTTCCTACCATACTTTTCTCATAACTTCGTTCCTCCTTCCTTTCCCCAATTTAGTTTATATCACCAATTGACATTCCCCACCTCACATCCATACATTCATATATCCATATAATTAAGTCTTGACAGACTAAAACCATTCCCAGTCTACTTACTCTGCACTTCGTAGATCATGCATAAGGAATAACAAACCTAGACTCGGGCGCATGGTTGCGGAACTTGTGGCCATCGCCGCTGTCTCGCGTTGCAATGTTGCTGGTCTTTGTTGTCCATCCTGATGACCCATTAAGTGATTAATATATGGTTGTGCTACATACAGTATTTTGAGGTGCAAGATGCTACGGGTTTGTAAATTTATGGGAAATGGGTTATATGATGTGGAACATTCGGAATGGGAGATGGGAGAAGATTGATGTATGTGGGAGGTTACTAGTTTGAAATTGAAGTTGTTCTCGGTCATTTCAAATTGGATCATGGGATATGAGAGGGGATATAGAGGAAGTTCACAAAGGTGTAGGGAGGGATCGTGTGTCGTATCTTGATATGCGATGGATGGTCTTGATATGGAAAATTTGTCTATCCTCCATGTATATTGGATATATCGAATAGTAAATTGACATCGATGTAGTCACGGTATGTATCGAGTGAATTTGAGGGCTAAATGCTTTGTACAGTTTCGTAGTTGCATAATTGAAGAGGGGAAAGTGAGTGTCGGTAACGGCTGAGTTACGGCTATGGAAGTGACATAGTATGGGTCAAAAAAGCCGATGATTGATACTCGAGTAGATTAGTGACAGTGAGTACAATTCATGACAGTGATGGCAGAGATTATAATTTATGAACTGGATAACCAGAAGCCATATTGTTTGCGTCAATCATTGCGAGATTCGGGATGCGGTATGTTATCATGCTTATATGGGAGTCATCATTCATATCCCTAACTGCTAAATCCTCTGCCACCATATCATCAACCACCGTATCCCCCGCTAGTGTATCCTCAACCATTTTATCCTCAACCGTTGTGTCTGTCACCATCTCCTTCCATCATTCATATCCCCAACCGCCATATCCTCAACCACCGTATCCCCCGATAGTATATCCTCTGCCACCGTATCCCCTGCCACCGTATCCCCTGCCATTGTATTCTCTGCCTGCCACGATGTACTCCACCACGATATACTCCGTCATTGTATCCTCTGTCTCCCACGATGTCCTCCACCACAATATCCTTCGCCATTGTGTCCTCTGTCTCCCACGATGTCCTCCACCAAGATATCCTCCGCCATTGTATCCTCTGCCTGCCACGATGTCCTCACCACGATATCCTCCGTCATTGTATCCTCTGCCTGCCACGATGTCCTCCACCACGATATCCTCCGCCATTGTGTCCTCTACCACGATTTCATCCACCGCGATATCCTCTGCCATCATGTCCTCATCCACCGTATCCCCCGCCAATGTATCCTCTGCCTGCCACGATGTCCTCCATCATGATATCCTCTGCCACCATATCCTCAAGCATTATATCCTCAAGCAAAGTTTCTTCCTCCACAGATGATGTAGCGACAACTAGAACCACAACAACACACAATGGCAACAGGAAGGGCTACCAAACCCATAGAATGCTACAACGCTTGGAGAAAAAGCTACAAAACCCATAGAATGCTACAAAGCTTGGAGAAAAAGCTACAAAACCCATAGAAAGCTACAAAGCTTGGAGAAAGGGCTACAAGATCCATAGAAAGCTGCAAAGCTTTGTGGAAAGGTTACAAAACCTATAGAAAGCTACAAAGCTTGAGAAAAAGTTACAAAACCCATAGAATGCTACAAAGCTTGGAGGAAGGGCTACAAAACCCATAGAAAGCAACAAAACTTGTGAAAGGGCTAAACCCCCTATAGAAAGCTGCAAAGCTTTGTGGAAAGGTTACAAAACCTATAGAAAGCTACAAAGCTTGGAGGAAGGGCTACAAAACCCATAGAAAGCAACAAAACTTGTGAAAGGGCTAAACCCCCTATAGAAAGCTGCAAAGCTTTGTGGAAAGGTTACAAAACCTATAGAAAGCTACAAAGCTTGGAGGAAGGGCTACAAAACCCATGGAAAGCTACAAAGCTTTGCGGAAGGGTTACAAAACCCACAAAACGAATGGTGAAAATGATCATGTAGTTGATGGATAGAGAATTGACTCCGGATTGGAATCTTTGCTGTTTCACCAATTTGACATAACGACCATTGTCCTGCAAAACTTGTACGCAAATTCCAAGGATTGGTTCTTGCATTTCATGCAGTGGGTATGTTCGTCCATAGGTGAGAGTTTCTCGTGTTCGAATTGATCTGAGTTACCGATTTCAAACAGATATCTCCAGTTTAGATCTCTCTTCTCATTGGCAATCTTCTTCCACATGTCGTGTTTTTCCAAGTATTTGGGATGTACCAAGCACCTAGATACCACAGCTGTGACAAGTTCAGCATTGAAATGGAAGAATGAGGTCGAAGGTGTAAGTTGCGCATGACTGAATGTTGTGATGCCACTAACGCCATGAATTTTATATCCTCACTTCACTACACCTCATTCTTATACAACATTTATTCAATGAATTCGCGAGAATCAAGTTAGGGTTTACCACAGCTCATCTACAAGTGAGAATTGAGGAACAATGATATATTAATCGATTTTACTTTCAAAATTAGAAAACTTCTCCATATCTTTTCAACCTCAAACTGAGAAACACAAATCAGTCTCGAACAACCTTTTTCGTTATAACTTCATCCACTCTTACTCATAATTACAAACACATCAAGCATATTATTCGAGCCTCAAACACCATCCATTTCCTGCAATCAAGCCCAAGCCTAGGCATGGCGCGACTTCTCCTCTTCAAGTCGATCTCTGTAAGTTATCTGCCCTTGATTTTCAAAACTCAAACTGACGGGATTTTGGTCAAAGACCACTCCCAAAGACCTTCCCAAAGACCTTCCATTTCCTGGCACCAAGCCTAGGCATGCATGGCACAACTTCTTCGTAAGTCATTGTTTTCCCACTCAACTTCAATAATCAGTACTGACCGCGTTTCATTCATAGATCACCTCCAAGACCATCCATTCCATGGAGTCAGGCCTGAGCACACAACAACTGATGGAATCGAAGGAAATTGGAATAACAAGTCCAAGGCCGATCCTAATCCAACCAACAGAAAAGATAAATCTGCGGGGCATCTTTACTGTTGGTTGGATTCGTGGACGCCTTTAACAGTCTTCTGTTGAGCTTGATATACTTGCTTATGCTTCTTCTATAAACCTTTTGTAGGGTTTCAGGGTTCAGTTTCACTACCCTACTCATGTAAATAGTTATCTCTTCAATATGTGGAAAGAATATACCTCACATTTCTCCGCATTCAATCATTGCCTGACCCACACTTGCTACTTGTGATTTGTGATAATGTGACTGCTCTGGTATAAACGTGATACCCCATGCAAAGTTCATTTGCCTTTATAAGCCCTGTAACTTAACTTAAACTAAAGGCCTACTTGAGCCTAAAAGTTTAACTTAAAGCGGGGGTTTTTCAAATCCTAATATAAATGAAAAGTTTGATTTTCAAATAAATCAATTCAGAATACAAAACCTATATATCACAGGGCTGATGCGGGTTCTGGTGGATACTAGGTAAGATGTATGATATTTGACAAAAAGAGAAAAAGGCATGCGGAATAACGACGACTATATAATGGATGTATGCCTAAGGCATTCATCTAAGCTAGTTAGGAATGGGTAATGAACCCGTGATAGTATTGATTGATTGATTGATTTAATTTACGTCCATCTTCAGTCTAAGACTATATAGGACGGCTAGACCCTATAGGCACTAGCAGATAACTTTTTATTTTACAAAAATAGATATGTTCGATTTGGGGAAGTGAAAACAAATGCTGGGGACCAATGCCCGCTTATTATACGCGTTGCATATAATAAGAAAATATGAATATCAAGGGTTATAAGAGGGTTACCCCTCTACCCTCTCTTTCCTCCACTGCTACTTCTTCCTCTTCCACTACTGTTACTACTTCTTCCTCTTCTACTACTTCTTCCTCTTCAACTACTTCTTCCTCTTCCACTTCTATTTCTTCCTCTGTTTCTTCTTGTTCAAGAACTCTTGCTAAGTGCCATGCCCTTGTAGCAATTTTGGTGGTATTGATGAATTTGATAGCTAGTTCAATTCCTACTTTTGTATGTAGTAGGAATTGTATAGTAATCTTGGATAATGGTATATTTTTGAAAATCTCTTTTCTTTCTGTTTTATATATAGGACAACTAATAAGAAGATGTTGTGGTGCCTCAATATTACCACATATATATTTGTTATTAGTGAATTTAAACCGATGTAAATAGGATTTAATATATCCATAACCTATTTTGAGCTGAAAGTACGCGCTAGCAGTGTTTTGACTAATTCCATTTGGTAATTTGATTTTAGACCCAATTTTCCATAGAAATAGTTTTGAGTATGTGGATAAGGATTGATTTGATCTGAGTTTGTATTGGTTAAGGGTAGAAATCCATTGATCTGAAGTGTACTACTTGATTATCATGCCTAGTAAACTAAAGCTTATTTCGTATGAGTTGAAGGATTTGGTAGTTGCTTCCTTTACTAACTTATCTACTAATTCGTTCCCTTTTACCAATATATGCCCTAGAACCCAATTCAAGGATATTTCTGCTCCTTTTGTTTTAATAACCTTGGCTACTTTGATTACTCGTATTTGATATACCTGGCCTGGGTAGTCTGATAATATTTTCAAACGGTATAAACCTGCCTGATTATCTGAATATACTTTGAATTTATTGCCATATCGAGCAATTGAGCTTACATATTCGATAGTTCTAATAACTCCACAAAGTTCTTCATTATATACTAATTAATTCACACCAATATTGGTTTACTCTTGATATAAGATTCGATCATTTGATTGTATTGCAACTATGCCTATACCAATACCAATACCTTTTAGTGTAAAAGAGGTATTAATATATATATAAGTAGTATTCTCATCTCTATGCTTAAAGATTATATTATAGAGAGTAGCAGTATCTTCTTTTAAAGAATTATTGATATTAACTCTAAATAGGATTTCCTTTTTTTATGGGGGAGAGTTGAAATAAATGATCTTTTCCAATAAAGAAGGATCAAAATCCTTATTTATTGATTTTCTGATTTTATCGAGTTGAGTTGGCTTATATGGTTTTCTTTGGGGGGTAGGGATCACCTCCAAATCAGTTTGATATTGAGCTAATATTCTTTTTTCGATATTGATTGGATGATTTGGCAAAAGTTTGGTTAAACAGAACACATATTTCCTGATATTTGAATTTAATCTGATATTTGAAGGGTTTAAAGCTGCTTTTACCTCCATTGGAAGAATTAGGGCTGTTTTGAATACTTCTAGTATCTTGCAAAAGACTAGATTTTGAAATA